TGTTATAGTGTACAGCAGATGAAACAATAACTATCACCTGCTGTCAGAGGCTTTATATTTAAAATTTTAAAGTTTTTTATTTATGTATTATTTTTTTCTCGTTGCAAAAGCGAAACATTAAGTCTATTATTGCATAATAATTAGCGGTATATAAAAAATACTTTAAAGGAAACATTTTTACAGGCATTGACTGATTGAAGATATGAAAATGCATGTGTTGTTTGTGTGTTTCCCTAATCGCACAAACGTATCGACGGCTAGAAAATAAAGTGCATATCATATCACAAAAGTGTATACATTGTGTGCCATAAAAACATCAAAATAATTATTCCCTAATATAATAACAATACACTTATACCTAATCTCAATCAGAATTTCAGGAATAGGTATGTGAGGTATGGCTCGCAAAAAGATAGAGATAGAGAGACTGTTTATTTTCTTCTCTGTTATTGTGCTCTCTCTCTCTCTCTCTCTCTCTCTCTCTCTCTCTCTCAATCTGTTGTTGGAGTCAAAGCCAATCCCAGTGCCAATTAGATTATCAGTGCCTATGATCTGGAGCAGAGCAGAGGAGAGCCGACCCTATCGAGTGGTTTGCGCGCCAGAGACTGCTCTTTAAGTCCATCAATCTATGATACAAACTATGGGCGTCTCAATAGGTATGACTGACTGACAATAAGGCACAACATATACATAACACTCAATGGGCTTTCCGTAACAAATAATGCGATAAATATTATGTATGTTTTTTATATTCTGTTTGTGAGCGTAAAATATATATGATTTCCCATCCATTCATTGCAGTCATCCATAAAAGTAATCTTCACTTAAATAGATATAAACGAAATATTTTCGTCAAAAACCCATAGATTAGAGTAAAAAACAAACATAAACTCAAGAATAAGAAGAGAAACACTTAAATTGAGCTTAAAATTCAAATTAATCTCAATTTTCAGACGTAAAATATAAATACGGATCATATCTGAAGAGAAATCTGAACCTTATTTTCTGCTTCTTTGAGAGAATAAAACATTAAATTCTTTATCTTTTGTACGAAATTCTACTCACTATTGAAGTGAAGAGAGAAAAAAAGTTATATATCAATGAAGAACAGGTAGTAATTGTCAGCACAGGTATGGCTCGGAATACTGTAGTGAAGAGTGAGAGAGACATGAAAATTATTATGTTTTATGGATGAGATTGTATGTGAAAAATACATTTTCACTTTTTTTAAGGACCTATGGTCTGAAAAAAGCAACAGATATCAGATCTCTGCTCCTCTTTTCTCGTGGCGTAAAAGTGTTGAAAAAAGAGATAAAAATAAATTCTCAATCGTTTTTCTACAATAATATTAAATCAATTAAATTTGAATGTTTTTATGGACATCAAGAAAAAAATTACATCAAAAGTGCATTGAATTTAGTATTGCTTAAGAAGTATACTGTTTATAGAAAAGCGTAAATTAAATTGAAATAAAATTAAATATAAAACCAACAAAAATGTTGTCCGAAATACTGGTTCACATAATATATCATTTGATTTTAATTGATATATACTGTGTCTGGCATACAGTATACTGAATATTAGACACACACAGCAGCCAATGCTTGAAACGATATTAAATCAATTAAATTTGAATGTTTTTATGGACATCAAGAAAAAAATTACATCAAAAGTGCATTGAATTTAGTATTGCTTAAGAAGTATACTGTTTATAGAAAAGCGTAAATTAAATTGAAATAAAATTGAATTAAAAAAATAAAATTAAATATAAAACTAACAAAAATGTTGTCCGAAATACTGGTTCACATAATATATCATTTGATTTTAATTGATATATACTGTGTCTGGCATACAGTATACTGAATATTAGACACACACAGCAGCCAATGCTTGAAACGATATTAATTTTAATTATGTTATAAAATATATCCCGGTTTTTATATCGGAAACACTTTTTGCATAAATAATTTTAATTAATTTAATTTCAGTCAAGATTTTGTTTTTGTTTTCACTCTTTAGAGTACACATCGAGTGAAGAGTGAAAATAATGTGTCAGTTATTATACATATGACAAAAACAGTGAAAGAGAAATATGTTTCGACTTTTAATATTGAAACAAAAAATACTGTTTTAGTCTCACATTTTCTAAAAGGTGTCTAAAATAGTTATATTTTATGGTATTTTATGAGTTCATATCAATTACTTTTTTTGGTAACTTTTATATATGATTTTTATAATCGCAACAAATCATCTCTTGTTCACTAATTTGTAAGTTATTTTCAGACACACTGTTTATATCAATAAAAAACTTTTTGCAAAACAATTTTCTTTTTCTGCTTCATCTATAAATGCATTTATAATTTTTTAACTGAAAGTTTGAGCAGAAATTTAGTTTTGCTAAAAAAGTTATTTATTATATTTATGTATTTTTGATGTGTTTTTTCTTCGGTTCAAAACAGTGGCTGAAAACAAAAGTTAAATTCAATGTCCAGACATAATGTGAATTACATTTTGTATTGTATTATAATTATAATAATAATAGGAAAATGATTATTGTTTATGGAGTTATAGAAAGAGAAGAGATATTTCTGTTGGGAAATTATGTGAACACAAAACGACACCAAAAGACTGTATTTGTGCGGAATTTCTGTGTTTTGTGTACTTTTTTCATTCATCATTTGAATGAAGAATTTTTTTCGATATCACGAAATCATATTCGGGGCTATTTTTCATGTGTACATCACTTAATACAGTAGCTGTTAGTTTGCAGGGGTAGGGCCTGTCCTGAGACTCAGTGCACGATTTCTCACTCTCAACCATCATCCAGTATGAGCACCGGTAGGACTTTATGCCATTCTCTCTCTCACTCTCTCTCTCTCTCTCTCTAAATATAGTGATGGAAAAGGAGGGGAAAGCGTTGGACTCTATCGCGAGAGTCACTCTTATCTAATGGCAAAACACATCTCTAATGAGCGCCTGGAGAGACGATACCTGAAAAAGACATAAAAATAAAAGATTTTTAACTTCTTTTTTCGTATTTTTGTTTTGTTTGTAAATTAATGGCAAATCAATGCATTTGAACATTGATTTGAGTCCCAATTTCATTACAATTACCGAATCGACAAGTATTTTGTGTGAACTATATTTAATGATAAGGCATTTGAATGTAAAAAAGAAGATCAGAGAGAGAGAGAGAGAGAGAGAGAGAGAGATATTGTGGGACTACTATCTAAGACACATTTTTAGAGATGGATACCTGATGTTTGGAAATCATAAGTAAAGCAAAGTTGTGTTCAAAATCTCTGGTCGCCACTAATGATCGCTTGGAAGAAAACGATTGATGTGTTGTTTTAGTTGTTATGCCTTTTGGCCTAAAGTCAAGACATTAAAAAAAGAAGTGTAGCGTAGAGTTGGAAGGCATGCCATACCATACCATATATATTATATACATTGTATGCCATACTATCATATATACCGATAGCGATACGGCAGGTGATACGACCCGAGCACTAAATAATCAGTGCTTCGGCCCATCAGCCAGTGCTCTGGTAATGGCATACAAGTGCCACCACTACTACTACTACTACTACTACTACTTCTACAACTGCCAGCACAACGTATAATAAGGCAAAGGTCTGCGACCTGTAGATGCCTTCGTGTGATGGAAGACATTCATTATCTCTCTCTTCCCCATACAGTCCCTAATAGACTATATTTGCGTCAATGGATAGCACTTAATATGTAGTGCCAGTGAAGTCATATTTAGTATAATAAGGCTTTTTTTGAAGCATTGAATTTTCATGTCTTCATGACTCGTATGTTGAAAGCCAACTGATGGAGAGACTAACCAACAGATTATATTATATTTGAATTTTAAATACTCTTCTTTCAAAAAACCAGATCTAGATTTTATTTTCGCAATACATTGTGTGAGAAATTATATTGAATATGCATTGCATTGCATAACACGTTAAGCACAGATACACACGTATGGTATTGCTATTCCTATGATTTATTCACACAATAACTGTTATGCAAGAGAAGAGAGATAGAGAAAACATTGGCATAAACTGCATGGCCTATAGTGTAGTGTTGGGGTTAACACAACACTACACCTGACAATTGTGAGGGACAGGGCATGGGATGTCTGTTTGAATGGATAGTAGCGTGTTATGCAAGTTATGCCTGTTATGCCTAATGCATAATTAGGGCCCGAAAGCAATTTGATTTTGATATCAATAACACACTATACGCACACTATTTTATTTTTACTTATTTAGATAATACAGTATTGGGTATACTTTACAGTGTTATGCAATTTGATTGTATTCCTCAATATTTGTAAAATATCTATAATATAAGTGACACTTGAAATCATAGTGTGAGAGATGGAAGGGATCGCAGGTATTATTGAATTGAGGGGAACAGAGAGGCTGTGAATCGGTGTGTGTTTGGCAATCATTGGCCAATATATGGCCCAAAGCCATAGTGTTGTGATCAAAGGGGATCTTCAATAAAATGATGGTATGAATGCTCTCTAATAGTAATGTTATGTAAGGTATGATCGATTTGTGGCATTTTTTCCATCATTATCATTATCTTCACAAATAGATTCCCAGCCAAAAACACATCACATTTAATATATACAGTGCGAGAGAGAGAGAGAGAGAGAGACTTACTCTATATATCCAGAAGTGATTGCATAATATTTATACTACATTTTTGGACATACCGATGGCTACAATTTACTCAAACATCAGGTATCCATCTCTAAAAATGTGTCTTAGATAGTAGTCCCACAATCTTATGCTCCCTTTAATCATAAGATAATTACGAGACATAAGAGGAACGAGACTTAAAGGCATTTTTGGCATTTGGCTCAACCATTGCATACATCTCTCGCATACACTACCAGTTAATACGGTTTTCAGATTACAGATGAAACATAATTTCATAAATGTTTCTATACTTGTATCGCATATATAATAATAAGAGTAAATCTAATTTGTATTCTTATTATTCTTCACGCGATTCTCGTCTGTCTTTTTAAATTTTGCAGATGTTTTGCAATTATAACTTATTGTGCCGTAAATATTGTCCACAATGTATATACAGTACGAAATAAACTTTTGATACATCTTTTTAGTACACGTTTTGGTACCGACAGACAAGTGTTGGGACTTTTGTGTGCAGATTGAAAGAAATGATAGAGAAAAGCCATTGCATAAGAGAGAGAGAGAGAGAGAGAGAGAGAGAGAGAGAGAGAATTATATTATTTTTAGAAAAAATAAATCCATTAACTTAAGATGTTATTTAACTGCATAAATCTAAGTCAGTTTATTTGGCAAGAATAACAATAAGAAACAGATATATCCAAAACAATGTTTATTAAAAATATCATGGTTATGCAATACATAATAATATATTTATAAATACCGCAATCTTATTTAAAGTTACCATTTAGTTAATCCCAAAAAAAGTTGTGATTATTTATAGAAAATGAATTTAAATTAATATAAATCAGAATAAAATGTCTGTAAATTAGGCGCTGAAATATTAATGCTTTTTTCACTGATATATCGCTTACTTTCAGTCAGTTTTTTATCGTTACTTCTTTTAACAGGTTTTGAATATTGAGAGACTTTTAGCGAAAATTTCAAATTTGTTGCCAAATCTCCACAAAAAGTGCTCTGAAATAAATATTTCAAATGACAAAGTGATGAGTTTATAACAACACAAAAGTTTCAAATAACAAATTCTTTAAACATGTAATTTCTTACCATATTTGATGTTTCCCTCAATGTTTCGACGAATAACTCGTAAAATGCGAGAAAAGTGGAGAAAACAGAGCCCCCGATGAGGATAAGGAAGACTCCGCCGACGTTTTTCATACCCATCTCGAGGAGAGCGGGCGTACCTTTGCTAAGACAGGCGCCGCCTCCGGCCTTCTGTGTCCACCACGTCCTCTTCAGTTCCCGCAAAACTCCCGTTTCCTGTAATTTCACAATCGCTTCCGAGAGAGGGGTTCGGTATTTAGAGTCTATATTAACCATACATTACACGTGTATTACTGTACGCCAGATAATAGTGTATGAATTGTTAAACAATATGTATTTGCAATTCTCTGCACCTTTTTTGGTGGCAATTCCATAGCCTTTACTGTCGAGAAGTCCTCCGACTTGTGTTAGATTACAGTGTCGTTCAGTAATGTAATCAATAACTGCCGACTCCATGAAGAAGGCATACTTTCCTTCGGATTCCTCCACAGCATCCCTTCCAATAGAGTTACTCGACTTTAGGACACTGTTTGCATTCTCCTCCATATACTCCGCCATCTTTTTATACGTCGATATGTTTGTGCTCTAAATCATTATTCAATTATTTGCCACAATTTATCATTAATTTAATTCAGTTACTTAAAAATTTGCAAAAAAAACATGTTCTCTTCTATCTCAGCATTAATAAAGATAACATGGAATTGCATGTAAATCCTATGGCTATACTTTAATACATCAATGTATAAAGTTTGTTATCTTAATACAGTATACTTGTGTTGTAATTTAAAAATCTTTATATTGTTTTCTAAAATAAATTGCAAAACAATTTGTGGTGAGAATTGATGGATACCTTAAAGAAGCGATGAGTGGCACCGTTTCCAACCAATCCGTAACTGATAGCTGTCTGTGCGGCCAACGCTTCGACACTATCGAAAGGATAGGGCGCGTCCTCTACCGTAAGAAAAGCGGCCAAATTAGCCGTATATGAAGACACTATGATTAACGTAAAGAAAGCCCAAACGCCTCCTATAATACGAGTGGACAGCGCTCTGACCATAACATCATTATATGAATAATTGTAACAAATAAATGTTATAACTTTAATGAATACGAATGAATACATACTTGGGTGCGATATCTGATCCCTGTTGCATAATGCCTCCGATGGCAAACCAAAAACTATTGGACATATAATAGCTATTCTCGAGCACCTGATTGTCTGTACGACAGGGAGTGGTGTCCGTCCATTCGTACGGCGAGAAGCGGCCGACATATACCTGAATAATACCCACAAACGATAGGATGCCTAACATATAGAGCCAGAGTTGAGTCGAAAATGGGAGCATAAAAGACCACAAAGACATGGTTTTGGTGGGCTTTTTAAATAGTATTGTAATGCCAGTAGACATGAAAGGGTAGGTAAAGTCGATGGCTTTCTCCCGTTCCGAGTTGATGGTCAGGTCGGCCACCGCTATGTCCGCCTCGTCTCTCATCACTTCGCCGACCATTCCGTTCCAGAGGCCGGTCTTCTTGTCCCGACCGCCCCATTGCTTGTCTTTGACGGGAGAGATCACGTACCGGAAGCTCAGCTCTTTGGCCAACTCGTCGATCAGATCAATAACAAATCCCTCGTATCTGTTGTTTCCTTTCAATCCGTCGGACGATTTCTTGAGCATAAAAAACGGATCGTTAAACACGGACGTGATTCTGATTAATGGCTTTTCCAACAGTTGAGGCAAATAATGTTTTGTCCACTTCTCGTATTTCTCAATCCTTCCCCTTTGAAGCCATTTTCCACTCTTTTGGTTGTATTTATTTTAAATAATAAATATTTCTTAATGTCTATAATAGTGTTTTCTATGGATAACTTACGACATCGACTCCATCTTCGCTTAGGCTTAATATCTCAAGACTTATATCGGATCGAAAGCCCGATTCATCAAACTTTACTAAACCAGTCATTCCGTAAAATACATTCTTATAGTGGAAAACAATATGTTTTAATGTTATAAAAACTTTAATTAAATAAATAATATGATTATATATTTATTAGAGTATAAATGCAGTACTTGTCTCATATAATTAAGAAGTGTAGTGCCGTGAGGCCAGGGATGGCCATCAGCGCAAGATATTGGATCCACTCTCCATTGATTACCATCCAAGTCATGCAAAGCATTGGCTAATAATCTGATTCCGTCATAAATAAGAGCCGATTCAGTCTATAATTGATAGAATCGCATAAAAATGTATACAATTTCTATTATTAGTGTTATTATAAGTGATAACCTGAAGATAATTGTGTGCATTCAATAGATGTCTTGTGTCAGTATTGGTGGTAATTGTGTGCCAATCGCTGACAAATTGTTTGACGTGTGTATTGTTAGGATCAACAAATCTAAATGCCGTCAATACAGCCCTCGTGTGCAAGAATTTGCTTAAATCCAAAACATGTAAATCCTGGACACAATTAGAGACATACAGATTAACATTGTTTTATAATGTTTGCAAAAAACAAAAGCATTTTCGCCAAAGAGCTTAAGATGTAATTCAATACAAAAGCCCAAAAATATTTTTCTTTTCTACTGAAAAATTATAAGCATTTTTTTGTGGATTAAAATAACCAAAAAATAGCGTAATCTGTTTCTAAGTTTATGTCTCAAAACCCAAATGTTTATGGTTTGCAAAATTGTGTTCATTTCCATAAAAGTTGCTCACATTTCCAGTGATGTAAAATAATGTCTCGAAAAACACCTATGATTTTGATCTTCATATTAATTAATGCATTAAACGTTGAAAGTCTTCCAAACTTTATAAGAATTGGTAAGTATTTGTTTCATCTATTAATAGCATTAATGACAAAATTTTGAAAAAAAATTTTAAAACATGTGCGAAATTCCTGAATATTTAAATCCAATATTAAGACCATTTTTATCACTAAATGAACGCACGATTGGTTTTTTAACGTTGCATTTGAAGGTCTTATTTGTTATTTAAGTTTAAATATAACTTTGAATATTTTACATATTTACAAACATCTCTAGAGTATTAGATCTACGAATAATAATTTAAAATATTTTTAAAATTTAAAATAATACGAATTCGTATATATAATTTACAAATAACTTTGATATAAAACTATTATCACATATACAAGTAAGTAATGTCTGTGTTTTGAATACCAGGCGCTCTATTGAATAAGGGAGAGGCGGAACACGAGTTGACATTCCGTTATGCCGTCGACCGTATAAATAATGATTCAAACATTTTGCCGCAAACCACTCTTATAGCACATGTGGCCACTCTTGACATCGCCGATAGTTTTCTCGCCCAACAACAGGGTTTGATATTTAGTAACAAATCAACATTTTTTTAGTAACTTGTGTGTAATATTTGCAATAGTGTGCGGACTTTTACGCAATGGTGTTGTGGCCGTATTGGGTCCGCACGACAGCATCGCCTCAATGCATGTGCAGTCCATTTGCGAAACCTTTGAAATACCGCACATCGAGACTAGATATGACTTCGAGTCATATCGGGCCGACCTATCGCTCAATCTATACCCCCGGCCGTCGCTTATTACCGATGCGATCATCGACTTAATCAAAGAGTGGCGTTGGAAGACATTTGCTGTTGTATACGAAGACAATTCTGGTAAAAACATTTGTTATCTGATATTCTATGAAATATTAATATAAAAACTCATATAAATAATCCATTATTTTTATTCAGCAATCATTCACTTCAAGCGTTTGCTTGAAATTTCATCAAAAGAAAGCTGGAATTTAAATGTATTTCAATTAACATATGATAAACCATATCGTGATATACTTAGAAAAGTCAAGGAAAACGATTGTCTGAATATTATTCTGTATGCGAGAAGAGATCGTATTCCAGAAGTTCTTCGACAGGTCTGTCCTATGCTTACCATAAATACAGCCCAAAAACTTAATGAGAAGTGAAACCCATTTACAGGCACTACAAGTGGGAGTCTTAACAGAAAAACATCACTATTTTATTATTAATTCTGTAAGTATTGTATTGTATTGTATTTGGGTTTTGGCTCTGAATGTGAATTTTATTTTCTCGTCAAGTGTTTAAGTCTTAAGCACTTATTTTCTTAGAGTTTATCTCTTCTCACGATTAAAAACTCTTTGTTATAAACCGTTTTGTTTTGTGACTAAAATTAAAGCGTTTGGTAGTTATGTTAAATCGTTTGGGGTTTAGTTTATGTAAATTTTATTGTTATACACAGAAAAACCTATTGAAAAACACAAAGCCTTTTAGCTATCATTTCTTAACTCAGTTTTTTGACATAAAAATAGTTTTTTATAACAATTCTTTCGTCGGAAAAGATTAATTGTTTGTTCGTTGAGTTGTTTTCTACACATTTTTTACTACCAATTATTGTACGCTATTTTTTGGTTATTTTAATCCACAAAAAAATGCTTATAATTTTTCAGTAGAAAAGAAAAATATTTTTGGGCTTTTGTATTGAATTACATCTTAAGCTCTTTGGCGAAAATGCTTTTGTTTTTTTGCAAACATTTGCAAACAATGTTAATCTCTATGTCTCTAATTGTGTCCAGGATTTACATGTTTTGGATTTAAGCAAATTCTTGCACACGAGGGCTGTATTGACGGCATTTAGATTTGTTGATCCAAACAATACACACGTCAAACAATTTGTCAGCGATTGGCACACAATTGCCACCAATACTGACACAAGACATCTATTGAATTCACACAATTATCTTCAGGTTATAACTTGTAATAACAATAATTATAGAAATTGTATACAATTTTGTGCGATTCTATCAATTATAGACTGAATCGGCTCTTATTTACGACGGAATCAGATTATTAGCCAATGCTTTGCATGATTTGGATGGTAATCAATGGAGAGTGGATCCAATATCTTGCGCTGATGGCCATCCCTGGCCTCACGGCACTACACTTCTTAATTATATGAGACAAGTACTGCTTTTATATAACCTTATTATTTATGTAATTTAGAGTTTTTATTACATTATATTAAAACTATTGTTTTCCACTATAAGAATGTATTTTACGGAATGACTGGTTTAGTAAAGTTTGATGAATCGGGCTTTCGATCCGATATAAGTCTTGAGATATTAAGCCTAAGCGAAGATGGAGTCGATGTCGTA